ACGTACGTAGTAATTTCGTATTCACTACTATTCAACTATCCACGCTGATATCTCATACTGTGATACATCTGACGATTGCTTCATCCGGCAAGCTCACTTGGTCCTACAAAGCGCTTTCCAAACATCCTAGTTTTCCGAACAAAGAAACTGTATCTACATTACCTCAGGCTGATCATGAAAGAGTACGGCGCAGCGAATACCAGCATGAAAAGGACCATAAATTGAACATATCACTCGGGCATGGCTCACTGGAAGCCGGTCCCGTGTCACTCCATTGCGCTAGACATCAGATATCGCTTCAACCCCCGTACGAACACACAAACTTACGTACGTGCAAACATATTTTGAAAACACTGGGAATACTCACACGTTCCTCCGCGCTGCCAGTAACCTGCCATACAAACAGAGACGTAAAACATAGGCTAGCAACGTGATCAAATGTCTTTTTCTAGACAATTAGTGAAATGTACACGCATACGTCGAATAGCATTACGGCATCCCACAATGCTTATATCCCTGATGGCTGCTTCGGCAATGCTTTCAAGGAACTGCAGTCTCCATTCCATCTGCGTCATGAATTGCTGGGGATCCCCGGCCAGAAGTTCCTCGTAGTGCACTCTCATCTCCTTCTTCACTCTGGCCTTCACCACCTGCCAAACCTTCTCGATCGGATTGAGGAATGGAGAGTATGGGCTTAATCTCAGTATGGTTACTCCATCGGATCCATCTACTGACGATAGTTCTTCCAGTGATGTGTGACATGGTGCATTATCACATACCACGACAAGCTGCAGGAGCTACATCTCCCGTTTCAGGTTGTCTAAATAGCTTCGCAGCCATTCGAGAGATAGGGAACCTGTGAATGAGCCTCTCCGGGTGGTCATCGACACTTTCGCTTCCATCGTGAGTGCACCGATTAAATGTAAACCGTGCTCTCTGCTGTTGGCAAATTTGCAACAGACCTTCACTCCTCTGGGCGCCCGACCACGAGTACGTTTGCAGTAAACGTTGAAGTTCGCTTCGTCAGTCCAAATGAAGAACTCGCCATCGCTCTCAAGTTGAAGAAACTGCTGAACCAATTCCCTGCGTATCCCTTTGTTTCGCTCATTGTTCATTCCCTCGGGAACCTGATAGATGTTCTTCATAGTTATCAATCGACCATCTAGATGTCATGCGATTGTTGACTTGGAAATGTCCTTGTCCATTTCTGCTCGTACTCGTACTCGCATTTCCCGTAGCGTAAGAGTTGATTCCCTTGCGATCCAATCCAGGATGTCATCTACGTCTTCCTCAGACAAAATCCGCTTACGACCGCGCGCCTGCGTAGTACTCGGCTCCTGATCAAGAAAACGACGAATCCAGGAGTAGGTTGTTTGATATTTGACGTTGTTCACAGTTGCCACAAGCTGCCAGTCATCACCGTTGACGAAAGCGTCCAAAACTCGCACAAATATCTGATGAGATACTCTGTCGAGCGTGAGAATGTATGCCGACGACGTAAGAATCATAGATATGGTTTCGGCCGTGCGTTTATGTTCCAGCTGTGCATTGCTCTCAGACCAATTGTGATCCACCGTTTCGGACGTGAAGGGGGGCGCATATAAGCCCGTTGCACCGTCGAAGTGCATTCCTCCAAGGTTCATTCACAAGTCTCACCCAGTCAACGGGCAGCGCGCTCACCTCCCCAGAGTAACGCACGGAACCTTGGCATCCGGCCAATGAGAACACACTTAAGGTCAGAGGATTGGCTCTCAGCGGCTGGCGAATCGCACAAGGTGTTGCAACATTATGGACTTTCTTTGCAAAGTTTTGGACCTTCTTTGCAAAAATTTTGGACTTTCTTTGCAAAACTTTGGCCCTTTTATGCAACTTTGCGGGAAATGCTATAGTTTGGTGGTTTATAGAGTTTGCAAGACGCTAATGTTGTTCGGTGCGGCTACTGTTATCACATGTCTCCCTGCCTTTTCCGTGTAGCCACTGATGCTTGCGATGCCCTACTTTTCGCTATGGTACGTTGGATATGGCTTGGGGCTGCCGTCATCTCCCCTGTCTTACTATGGGTTGCACAGCTAATAGGAGGGGTGGCCGACAAGCTGGTTACTTGTCCGATTGTGGGAGTGAGGTGAACAATAAATTTTAGGGCACACAGACGCTGAGTACAGCTGCAGCGTCTGACTCTTGTCGTGTGGATAGAGACAGAGCCTGAATTGCTTGGTTAAAGTACAAGCTTGGCCGAACTCACTTCCCACGGCGCAAGCTTCGTATTCATCAGATGCTCGGTTGTCTCAGTAGACCTATCGTACCTTTTCACGAGCAACATAAACAGCTAACTACTGAATGAACGTTGGACAAACAAAAAGGCGTTCGCCCCTTTATTGTCCTGCCTCACTTCTTTGTTCGTGTTCCCTGCACCTTTAGGGTTGAAGGATCTAATGCATTTGATCGCGTTATTTTTACATGTAAGACTGTAGCTCATTTATCTGCAGAGCACACGCTGCGTTGTGTCATGTTCGGGTTGCTCGCTGTACTTTTCTGACCGCGTGCCCATTGTGACGATCATTGATACTTCTATGGTCAGCACCGATTTGGTCTTGCCTGCCAGCGTGCCAACACGACTAGTTCGACAATTGGGTCGGTTGAGCGGCTGGTGGAAGAGGAGACAGTTCTTGAGAACGGCAAGTACAAAACGATGCGGCAGCACTATACTAGATCCAAACAGTCATGGGTTGTTGTCCGCATGTTTGCTCATAATTCCTTATGGTTTGCATTATATTTAGTATGTAAAAGTATAATTATGGGTATTGTGAAACGGTGTGACTGATTGCATTCAGAATGGCCAGTAACTTTGAGAAGTAATATCATAAGTCGGTCACTCGCTCAGCCAGTTTCAGCTCTACATGCAATTTCCATTAGATCGGTCAAAACCTTTTGGTTTGCTACTGGTGCTTTTGATTAAGTATAAGCAGCCACATAGGTCAAGATTTCATGTTTCGATTAGCACGAATGTACCCCACATCTCGCCGAACGTTTCTACGAAACGGATCACGTTTGAACTGCAGAGTGTCGCCTCGTTATTATAGTCGAACAGACGCCAGAGTGAATCATAGCACGACACGCGAACTCAGCATTCAGGGATTAACCATCAACTGATGCCCCTAAGTAAAACGTATTCATTACACTACTGGTTAAGAGTGACCCAGCCCGTCAGATGTCCGTATCATCTTCACCAACTTCGTAAGGTGTTATACTACAGCCGAGCCAGTGGTATTGCAACAAACAAGTAAGTTACTGTCTACCTGGGCAGAACAGTCACTCAAGTTACCGCATCCACCTGCCTCACCTGAATTCCAGTGGCAAGTAGTTTCACTGTATTGAGAATGGGCTCTCAATGAAGACCACAGAGCACATTCCTCCTAACAAGGTTGCAAAAACAGCCGAGAGGAACTACTAGCTGGATTGCTTGTCACATACTCGATTACTTTGCGTGTCAACACCCATGTAGTTCGTTCAGGTTAAGAAACAAAGATCCCGTCTGCTTCATTTCATCGAATCCCCGGTCATTCGGTAGATGAAACCAAGTTTACGCGTACATATAGTTTCTCAGCAATCTATTTCCTGCTTGGTAAATTATGAGGCGAGCATTTCTCTACGTACACACTGACAGACGCAACTACTTCGTGTACCATGAGATAATAAATCAACTGGGACTTATTTCGACAGTTGCGAGTTCCTCACCTATTGGGATGCGGGCGATTGGGCAATTTTAATGTCAGTTTTCAGAATCGACGTACAAGCTTATGTAAACGTGAGCGAATGCTAACGAATGAAAATGCATGAACTAATGTGGGACCAATCCCCCTGCCACTGGCACTTGATTTACGCGATAAAGATTGCACTTACGCATTTTTGTAAGCACTACTTAAACAATGGGAGGCAATACACAGTAAAAAGAGCTCGGCCATTTAGTCTCAGGTACGTTGTGTGAACGTCGCAATTTTGTGCTTTCTAAATATTACACAGAATATTATAATTTGTATTTCGTACAACCGCCTGTTGGGTTTCAATCAATGTCCAAATAGTCGATGATGATGTCAGCAAAGTTGCAAAGTTATCCTTGGCCGAGTAGCGATTGCGTGCGCTCACCGTGGTCCTACTATTCGATTCGCAAATGACTACTTAGATGCGGGGAATTGCAAGAAGTAGCTCTTTAAAATCCATCCTCATCAAAGCTACGTTATTATTCATCCGCGCGTTCTGTACCGTAGTGTGTTTGATAGGTCTTATGCATGAACCTCAGCGTTAGTTTGCATGATGTAGGTTGCATACGAAAAATCAAATGCCTGAACCGAAATAAGTAGGTCGCTCTGGTAAACAAACTACTGTAGTTTGGTAAGTGTCTAACTACGTGAGTATACTAAAAGTGGTTCCATGCGCTCAGTGTGGAGCGGACTACGGTCCAGCCACCGCCTTGTGTGCACTTGATTCCCCAAATACAGCGTGCTTGTGTTTGTCTGTGAAGGAGTGTGGGCCGGCTCCGTTGATGAAACGTGGCTCCCATCCGCATGCCTCCCGGTCTTATTCCTTCGGGTTTACACTGGATATGGGGTGTGTGGATGGAGCTGTGGGTAGTGCAGCGCAAGCCATCCATGGTCCCTCTGTAGGCGCAGGCGTCCTGTGGCTGACCACAGTGACAGGCAAATCCGAAACCGGATGCCGCCAACCATACTAAGGTGTCGCAAGGAGAAGGATGAACCAGGAGGGGAGCAGAGGAATATGCACTTGTGTGTGTATGTCTGGGGTTGTGTGCACGTGCCTGTCTAGACTAGCCGTCAAGTATGCTCACCGATTACACAAGGGTTAATCACAGATTCTCGGCTGTATTACAATTGAAACAATTCCCTCATGAGTGGATTTAGATCACTTTATTAATCAACTGCATTCCGCTTGCCCTAATCAAAGTTTCTATATTTTCTTTGCAGATCTAAAATTATCAACTAACGATGCAACGGTCTTGGCCATTCCTGGGTGAGAATGAATAATTTTAATACTAATCTCTCTGACCATTTTGTTGCCCTCGGTATGCTATGACGTACGAAAATGCTCCATTGTACCGCACCTTGCTATTTGTCGGAGGTTTTGATTTCGCCTTGTCATGATTGAGTTCAGGTAACACCAACCAGTTGCAGCTACGAATAGCTAATGTATGGCAATGCTTGGCGTCATCTGCATGTGGATTTGCCTGTCACTGCGGTCTCCATAATACAGCTACAGGAGGATTGTACCTTCAGTGGGACCATGGGTGGTCCGCGCTGCAACACCAACAGCTCCATCCACACCCCCCATATACAGTGTAAACCCGAACGATTAACACAGGGAGGCATGTGGATGGCAGCCACGTTTCATCAACGGGGCAGGCCACGCCCCTTCATTATGCATAGTAGCAGTGTTCATGCGTATCTACTTGGGAAATCATGCGTACCAGACGTACACAAGGCAGTTCACGGACGGTGCACCGCACTACATTGGATGGAACCACCAGGTGCGACCGTACAGGCCGGAAAGCACACTAGGATTTGAAAGCCTAGCCTTTGGTTTTAATTGGATGGAACAGAGATAATCGTCACTGGTATTGCTATGAAAGTAAGCTCCTCAGTGTGCATGTACCTAAAAATACCGTTATTTAGAAATGCTAGAGCAAGCCGCATAAACACGGGAGACGCTGGAGCCCAGATACATTTTATCCAACACCGCCGCGCTGTAGGTGAATTAAGTACCCTAAAAAAACGTTGATATTGACCAAACGGAAATAATATGCCCATGAACAATGGACAATGATCTTATCCGGGTTAAAAGGCACCGCTTTACAAGCCTTTTTAGGTAGTCTGTCGGATTACCGAAAAACATTAGTGAAATAAATGCAGTTGGTAGTTCTACTGTCAATGGGATGTACGTATCGTATGTAATGCAGTATCATCCCACTACAGAAGCTTCCACAGCTTCATTAGGCGAAAAATATAAATGCAAGGTATTGCCCTGGAGTAGGATGGAGAAGAGCGTAAAGTAACAAAATAAAAAATTGGCGGAACAAGTGACCCAACAGCCTTTTAAATATGGCTAGCGTGGGTGCAGAAACAACAGCTTCGGGTAGAGCGGTCAATGGTTGACAAACACGAATAGAAAAGAATTTGCTACGGCACGCCACACGGCCACCCTGTCCTGTTAAGTTTAAGGAGTGGCCTCTAAGTAAAGAGTGGCGGACATGATTTTGATTTTGTAAAATGAACTACGTTATAACCAAGTCGCCTCGTAATCGGCGATACCGCCCGCTGCATACTCCCAAACGTTTCAGGCAATTCTTGTATGGAAGGTGGCGCATTCCAGTAAAGTATTAGAAGACCGACGTTGAGGTTGCTCCAGTGCCGTAAAGTCGTGCTTCAGCTATGTGTGTCAAGCATGGATTGCGTACTCAACCTCGAGACGAACAAACGCATTCAGCATCTGTCTGAAAATACTGATGTCCAGTTGTCCGAATGCCCGCCGTAGCAAGCCGACATGCTGGTTACCAGTTTTCGAGGCCTTTGCGGATTGCATATAATAACCCAACTTATGCTGAACAAGCGCGCCAAGGTCGCCTTCGACCGATGGTTGCTGCAGGCGTTGCGTTCCAAGCATGTAGGATTATGTACTTTGGTGTCATATGGAGCGCACCTTGCATTTGTCCATGTTGGACTGTAAAAGATTTCGGGTTGACCACTTAGGTGCCATATTCAGATCACACTAAGGTAAATTCTGTTCCGTATCCGCTTGGATCGACCGTCATATCTTGATATCATCAACAAACAGCAGGAAATTTGAAGCGATTTTCCGTACAACGATATTGATGAATATCAAAAACAATCGCGGACCTGGAACGGAGCCCTGGGGCATACCAGCCTCCACTGGTATGGGTTCAGATAAGGAACTCCGGACTCTGAGTACTAATTGTCGTTGCATGAGAAAGTTGGGGATCCAGGTCAAAAGAGCGTCACTGCTCAAGTAATATTGGAGCTTTCAGTTGTAGATTTAACAATCGAATGCCTTGGATAAATCCAAGTAGATCACAGCAATGGCCTCTCCAGCGTCATCTGACTCGGTCCAACTACTCCGTGCCATTAGTCGATTCGTTGTGCATGATCGCGATGCTTACGCAACTGTGGAATTACCATGTCTTTGTCAAGATTGACCCCTAGCTTAAATCGGGTGCACGGTTTGTGTTTGACGACAGGATAAGTGTGGCACGGAACGTATGAGTTAATGTGCTTAACCCGCGGACGTTGAACTAAGCAGGCTGACTCAACGAATCGTTAGCATACATCTAGGTAACTAACTTCAACAATGGAGCGTCGTTTCTTACTAAGAAACAGTTTGAACAGCTCGACCAGCATTAGCTGCAGGTGACGTTTTGGTTGAGCCAGTACCATCTGTTACTCCTTTCTAACCATTGAGATCTCATGTCTCCTGCATGTTTATTCTATCATACACCATACTTTAGTTAGAATGTTTCATTTGATAAGAAGCAAATACTTAAATATTTCATCATCTCACAAGTAAACCCTCCCATTATATCCCGTTTAGTTCTTCTAAGTTGCCTGTCTATGTTGGCTGCTGTGATAACCGAGAACGGAAACGGTCATACCGGACTCAACGGTGACCATACCAGCAACTTCAATGACCTTCGTGGTGGTGGATTTGCCCCAGATGGAAACGGTTATCCGAATGATAAGAACGGTTCCAAGGTATCCAGAGTAGTGAACGGTGTTAGCAATGGAAACCCGACCACGACGACCAGCACGACGACAACCACGACCACGACGACTCCCACTACTGTCCCTACTACCACTACTGTCCCTACTACAACTACCACTACTGTTGCTGGTGCCACCGAGAGTCTTAACGTCTACAGGAGAGCCTTACAAACGTTGTTGTCCGTTATAGCCACCTTACTTTCCTTGATTGCTCTGTGTAGCCTAATCATGGTCGTTTTGGCGTTGAGATCGCAGTAACCAACTTCCAAACGCTGTGGTGGTTACTAGGCAATTCATACGACATGCTAAGTGAAATAAAATGTTTGTTGAATTTAGACCAACGACTTTTGATTACTCGCGAAATTGTTCGTTGAATACTTTAATCGCTTAGTTCTGTTGTGCGATATGCTGACACATGTATACACATTGAAGTGTATGTATGGGAATTGGTATATTTCGGATAAACATGTTGTAGCTTAACTTGTCACGCAGGAAGTCAATGATGAGGTTTCAGCGAAAAAAGAAAACAACTATAAACCGCGGGCGACAGAAAACAGTAAACATGCCGAACAAGTCTTTTGCGTATGTGATTTATTCACATATGACCGTTTAAAATTGGAAGCCTCAGTTTTTGATTTTTCCAGAAAAACTGGTGTCGAGTTATTGTTGGGATTGTTATACGCTGGCAACATTTTCGCAATACGTTTGGGGTGAACGTTTTCCTTGTAAATGAGGAAAAACGAGTTCAAGCAAATATGAAGTATTTAAGTGCCCTCCATACTAGGAACAGTTTAACTTACGAGCAACCTAGCCATCATATCTTGACTAAAACGGGTCAAGCTTTTACACTGGTTAACGCATGCATACTGGGATGTGAACAAATATCTGTTTGGCACCGTCGAATATACATGAACTGCTGATAGACGGTAGTTAAGTTATAATTTTGATTCACTAGTATTATTATTGGTTGTTAAATGGTATATTAAGATGCTGTATTAAGGATAGTTGATGCGAATGACGGCTTTCCATACGAACAGAATACCATTCACACCGCAAAGAAAACAGTCGTTTGGTGGCCGGCTGACAAACACTAGGGGATGATGGAAGAGTTTTTGCACCTTTGGATTTTATAACATAGATTTTCTTCGACTAAATCCTCTCTGCCACAGCATTCTTATCCAAGTACGTCTGTACAATAAATACATTACCGTTCAGTAGGGAGCATATTTAATGGAGCTTAGTTTCGAACGAAGATCATAAACTTTTCATTTGTATGTTGCTAATAGTAGCGACTCTGTCTTATACCATCGGCGGTAGGTGTGAACGGCACTAAATATGGTAACTGAACCATTTAGTGTTGTGCAGGAGATGTTTGTTATTTATCGCCTATCGAGGCATCTCGCTCACTTGATCTCTAGTTGTCACCATATGGCGACTAGCATGTAAACGATGAGCTAGTAAGCAAGTTTAGACTGGAAATATGCACTAAAAGTGAAGGGTACTTTTATTTTAGTGAAGTGGTTGCTAGTAAAACCAACCAGGAAAATTCCCTTTGGCCAGGTAGGATGATGCGCTGAAGCAAGCATCAAGTCTGTGAGCAAATTATCTGAGTAACAAACCGTATTGTTTCCTTGAAGGATTGTCATCCTGGGTACAAATGATGCAGGTTGACATCGAGCACCAACATCAAACAAGGCGGAAAATATCGGTTGTGTATGCTTAAAATGTCCATGCTGCAGAAGAGGGTGGACAGATGTGATTGATCGATTAGCGGAGTCGGATGAATATGGACGAGTAGTGAGGTCGTAACTACAAGAACGTTATTTACGTTCGGTGTGGCTTACTCGTTGCAGTGCACCGCACGACCAGTTTCACGCTTGCGCGAAATCATTAAAATCCACAACAAATTTTTATAGAAGTTATGTTAATGAAATAAAGTTAATTGATGTCTATCAATGTTTATGTGCAGGAAACAAATTGACAGCAAAAATGCAAACTTTGCTCCATTTTTGCAACCCTCAGTAAGTTTCCATCACGAAGCGCATGACAACCATTTTCATAAAATAAAAAGTCAAACCCTAGAGTACATCTTAGATTTGTTCACCTGTCTGTTGAACTATAGTTTTGGGACATTTCTGGCGGTCTTGCTTGCTGTGCCCTTCTTCGACATTTCTTTTTGATTGTCGCGCGCTCTAAGGGACATCACGATAGATTTGTATCCAACAGGATCCGTGTTTTAGCGCGCTTGCGGAGAGCAAAACGTTTTCTACGTCGGTGCGGGATTCCAGTGTTACTCGAATAAGTGGATTCCCCCTAGTGTAGCGAGTTCGCATGACGAGTAATCAGTAATAAGTTTATGGGTTGGCTTTGATACTCATCTGCATGCACAATGAGTTTCATTGGTCTTGGTTGTCTGAAAACTTCTCCCGCAATGTGATGTCGGTAGATACAGGGACATCTGCGCATACAACAGTCCGGACACTATTATTGGATCCCTTATTCATTGATCTACAAGGTATGGTACTCGTTTGTCCTGAAGTGCTGACAAGTGTTGATTGTTAACAGTTTGTCCACCTATCCGCGTTAACGGTGTTTACAATGGAAGAGGCGGCAACTGCGGCCTCTCGGTAGACCTTTGCAGCAATCTCCGCATAGGTGCCTGATATTTTGGAAGGCTTAGTCTCGACAAAAGATATTTGAGCTGCAGGTAACGACGGTTGATGTTTGGCTGCTTCATCCTTGTTAATGCTAAATGTCAGGTCTAGTGGAATTTGCCTAACCAGACTTTTTGTGTGATACCTGATTTTCGTTGCCGTGAGTACTGTTTTACTGTCGTAGGTACAGTCGGTTTTCGCCCGGCGTGCTACCAAAGTTGGAGAAGACAACGAATATGGAGACGTGGCTGATTGCGGTTCGGGGGAAGCGGATTGTTCAGCGTTCCGTTGCTTAGAAGCCGCTACGCTTCTGTGATGTTGCACACTCGTTTCCATGGAAGTAACCTTATCGTTTATCTTCTGCTCTGCTTCTGCAGTTACCCGGTCGTATTTCTGAGCTAGGATGAGCAAGCACTTAACGAGGGGGATGGTGGAACATGCAGTACAGAACCAAAAGGCATCTTAGGAGCTATTTCGCTCTCGTTTCTGTTGTTGGGATACATTTGCATATTTCGTATGATACCATTCCAAACAGTACGAGCAAGCCAGACCGATGTTTACTACTAGATGACAATCTCCTAACCCGCAAATACCCTTCGGTTGAAGCCTCTTCAGTTTCGCATTTCTGCCATTCAATTTGGTATCGTTACCTGACCCAGTGGGTTGGTTAGCGTTCTGTACTTTTACAGCTTTGAGAGCGGCGCACATCTGTCAGGAGAGCGTGGTGGTTGTAAGGTCAACGTTATGTAGGGCCAATCAGCAAATCGCATTTCCTGAGTTGGCGTATACAGATCTGAGCGTCTATCTAACTGGTTCCTTTGGACTTAGGAAGCACCAGCCTTCGATTGCAGGAAGGCTGTGATAAAAATGCCCTTTGGCTTGAACTGACTGGGTCTGGGTGCTGGAATGCAGGTTCGGCGAATGGATGTTACCCCAACGCAATACCCAATAGCAATGGTGATGACTGTACAGTGCATTTGAGAAGAGTCTTTCGTTTTTGCTCAGTCGCCGCGCTGGTCAGGGGTAGATTGGAACGCACTAATTTGCCGACCCACCAATGGCATGTACGTCTGCTGTATTTACTCATCCACGCATGTCTGGGGGTGTGAATACGACGTGAGGACGCATTGCGGTGTATGTGTCCTTGAAATATGTTAATGACCCTCGTCGATTTCGACAAAGGCCAGCTCAGATTGGGTCGATGCCGACGTTTTTGGCTGGTGGTTTGCAACATCTCGACAGCAGTGCATAATGCACTGGCTACCGTGTTCAAATGTTGATGGCGCTTCGACAGTTGCTTAATGTTATCCCAGCAAATGATAAAAGGGTTAGTGACAACGCTGTTGTAGACTGAATGTTACCTTCACATAAACCACCTTAGCAAAATAAGAATTCGTAACAATTAGGCGGTGAAAATATGAGATGCTACTTCTGCATAAATGAGTCCGGAACAATGTCTACCAGCTACTGGAGGCTCATCGGATCTATTTGCAAGTGCGCGGCCGCCTAAGGAGTTAATTCCAGCAGAATACAGAAATAAAAAGAAAGCTGAGTGCAGTGCCTTTTGAACAGATTTTATCAAATCTCATTTTATTCCATCAGCTTGGAGAATTAAATCGAAATCAGTTTCGCAATGAGCACGAGAAGGAATTTTACAGTATTGGTATGGTAAAAGAATCCTAAAGTAGATAAAGAAGCGTTTAGGTCAAATCTAAGCACCCATTTTAGAAAGAAAGGTGATGGAAGAATCCAGCGCGTACGATGCATTTATTTGATTAAGCCAGTCTGTTTACGGCTGAATATTCAAGCGTTGTTGGTGTATTAAGCATTTTATTGACTTGACTTGAGTTCCCCGCCTTGGCAGACTTGAATGTTTAAATATTCCTTATCGCCCAGATACGTATCCTGCCAATTTGGAAAACCTTAATATGCCATGGTACTAGAATTTTTGGTATTTTAAGTATCCATGGAAACTGTGTAAATAGATCACTGAGGATTCACGTTCAACCGTTTGTTCCACGGTCATGACACATTCAGTAGTTGAGAATGACTTAACAAGCGTAAAAGTATTGCCCATTAGTTAATTTCCGGTGGCCGGTGGGACTCTCTGGGACTCTTTTAACTTCCGATATAATTCCACGGGATGTACAGCTGAGCGGCTAATCGTACTCCCACAACGACAGAACAACAACAGATCATGGTGACGTGCTGGTATAGATTTGTTTTCCTATTTCGTTAGACTGCTGCTACCAAAAGAAATGCGGATGTTCTACGTGTGCCCTAAAGCTCGATCCACCTGAGTGTTGGCGAAATGTGGGTGGGTGAGATTTACTGTTTTATGTGAAGCTGCCGTTTGCACTAGTTGCAAAATACCCAAGACAAAATGAACCGTAATCGCTTTCAGCTCATACGTCCTTTTGACACGTCAAAGAAATAGAACAAGGGTTCAAATTCCCTACAGGCCTAGTGATCTGGAAGCAGAGAGTGCGGAGATGATATCTGAGATTGGGGCAGCACTACACGTATGCTGGTGGACTCGCACCAAACCGCAATCAGATCCCTCATGTATGAATTTGAAGTTGACGAGCTGCTAACAACTTGTCGTGGAGTGTGAGGCATGAATCCAGTAATACCAAGTGAACATCCAGTGGCCCTAGCTTGGCGAAAGCTGCTGCTGTCACACTGGCTTCCATAGCAGTCATCCTAGGAATACTGTAAAC